GTGTGCAGTCCTTGTTACGTGTGTGTGGCTCTGTGTGTAGAGCCCAGGGCCTTCGCACTGGGCTGCGTGTGCAGTCCTTGTTACATGTGTGTGGCGCTGTGTGCAGAGCCGAGCGCCTTCACACTGGGCTGCGTGTGCAGTCCTTGTTACGTGTGTGTGGTGCTGTGTGGAGCCCCAGGCCTTCGCACTGGGCTGCATTTGCAGTCCTGTTTTCATTTCTAAATTCTGAGGCAGCCTCACTAAGTCGCCTGGTAAGCCTGAACTTACACTGCTTTCCCACCTTTCTGAGTGCTGGGGTGACAGACATGCACCAGCACCCACCTGTGGGGAGCCTAGGTATGGTGGCCGCTATGAGGAGCAGCGTGTCTGCACGGGTGGGGGGAGCACTTCCTCCCTCGCACAGCTTGGGCTTCCCAGCCCAGCCTTGGCTGGCAACCCATGTGGAACATGGTATCCTCTGCGTCCTGGACGTCCCTGAGCCTGGTTCCCAGGACAGAGGCACCCCTACCCTCCACCAGCCCTGGGTACTCACAGTGCAGGTGCCCTCCTGGCACAGGGTCTTCAAGGCTGTGACAGCCTCCACCCTGCCTGCCCTCTATGCTGTCCACACTTCCCACTAGGCCCCACTGGTCCAGCACCCAGGAACCCAGGACATTGGCTGCCCGGCTGCCAGCCCACCTTGGAACTTCCTTCTGTGGCCACTCAGACCCCAACTCTGGGGAGTCTTGAGCTGCATGTGTTCCCCTAAACTGGGTGCCATCTGCAGGTCTTCCAGGCCACTCCATGCACCCAGCAGAAGGCAGACATAGAGCAGTGCACCTGCGCTTGCTGCATCCTCCAGGCCTGCAGCTGCTCACTGCACCTCTGTCCTGCAGTGCACCCACACTTGCTGTGTCCTCCAGGGCCTGTGGCCTCCAGGCCTGTGGCTGCTCACTGTCCCTCTGTCCTGCAGTGCACCCGCCCTTGCTGTGGCCTCCAGGGCCTGTGGCCTCCAGGCCTGCGGCTGCTCACTGTCCCTCTGTCCTGCAGAGGTCCTGCAGGGTGCCGTGCGCTTCAGCAACAACCCCATGCTCTGCAACGTGGACACCATCCAGTGGCGGGACATCGTGGGCAACAACTTCCTGAGCAATATGTCGCTGGACCTGCAGAGCCCCCAGCGTAGCTGTAAGTGGACCTGGAACCACTCCTGGCTCCAGCTGCCTCAGGGGAGGGCCTGAGAGCATGCATTCCACACAGGGTCATGTGGACCTAAAACAAAGTTAAACCCCGGGTGAGACACAGGACACAGCAGCTACTCACAAGCACCCTGTGACCGAGGCCGTGCAGCGTACCCCTGTGGTCGTGAGCAGGCTAGGCTGAGGGCAGGCCACAGGGGCAGCTCCTGGTCCTGTGGATGTGTCCCACCTGCCCTGTGGGGACAGCAAACTCTGTGCCTGACCATGCTGACTCCCACAGCGGTGCCTGTAGCTCCTTCCCAGGTACAGGAATGGGTGCCACCAGGACCACCAGGGGTGACCCTGGGGGAAGCAGGCCACTGTGACCTCATGCTGCCCACTTGAAAGTGGGGCTGGCCTGGTGGGGATGGACCCTCGCCCGCCATGTCCAGCCCTCCACGCTCCCTGGCTCCACCTGGGCCTCATCCTCCCTGCCCTCCTTCCACTCCCTGGGTGCAGAGCCTTTGCCCCACAGCGACAGTGGAGCCTGCACATGGAGCGTCTCTGTAGTAGCCCTGTGGTCTCATCAGCTGGAGCTTCTGGCTCCTGCTCGCTTGCCCCCTGCTGAGGCACCGTGGTCAGATACACTCCAGGTGCAGAGCTCTCTGGCTTTACGAGGCTGTCACCACACCCACTCATGGATCCCCTCACCCTCACACCGGACGTGTACAGTGACTCCCCATCTGCCCACCCCAGCCCTGGCAGCCCAGCAGCGATCAGCTTCTTGTCACTTGGTCCCCATGGCTAGGGTGTGAGCTGACAGCCATGCTTACCTTTCAGGCCCAAAGTGTGATCCAAGCTGTCCCAATGGCAGCTGCTGGGGCCCAGGAGAGGAAAGCTGCCAGAGATGTGAGTCTGCGCTTGGAGCTGTGCTGCTGTGCCCCTCCCTGTGGACAGGATTCAGGCCCCGTGCCCCCTCCCCAACACCTGGTGACTCCCTGTTGCACTGGGAACACAGCCCCCATGTGGCCGTCCCTGTGGATGCAGAAAAGCACCCAGAGGCCAACAGCCTACAGTGACACCACTGCAGCGGCTAATCCAGGCGAGCTGGCCTGGGTGTCCCAGCATAAGCGAGAGCCCCTGCACCCAGTCCCTGCTGCTGCACATAGGGCAGCACACAGGGCCATATGCTCCCAGGACAGTGCATCTGCTGTGGCACAGTCACCACGCTGGTGCTTCCCTCTGCCCTGGGTGCCCGCCTGCCTGGAAGTCTGCAGTATCCTCTAGACAGCATTTTCATCTGAACCAAATCTTAGCAAGAGCTCATCTGACGCAGCATGGTCACCAGCTCACATGTGTCATGGCCAAGGACCTGAGGACATGGTGGCTCCAGTGCTGGCCCTGACCCCAGGTGTAATTGTGAGCTGGCTGCAGGGGCTCGGTCCTGTGTGCCTGCTTTGTGCATTGCAGAGAAGACAGTCCAGTCCAGCCACACTCTGTTTACAAAGGAGGTGTGAGCGTCTGGACTTGGTTGGAGTAGTTCTCCTAAGTAGTTGGAAATAGATAGGAAAACACAATCCCAATCCCAGGGGAAAGGTTGTGGGGAAAGTCATGCTCTTAAGGACTGTGATGAGAAAGGTCATGAGGAAGGGCCCCAAAAAGGCTGTGGAGAAGGCCCTTGGGAAGGTCATGAGGAAGGTCCTCAGGAAGGCCATGAGGAAGGTCATGAGGAGCGGCCTCAGGAAGGCCATGAGGAAGGTCATAAGGAAGGACCTTGGGAAG